AAGAGATCGTGCCGCGCTGGGGGAAAAGGGTTGTCCCAGGTGTGACGGCACTCAAGAGTTTATGCAGCAGTGGCTCCAAAGGGTGTGGTCGGTGCTAGGGGAACAGCTGGAGAGGGGGGAGGCAGTTTTCAGGTGAACAGCACAGGCGGGGGGATCCAGGGAGAGGACCATCTCGGAGACACGTGCAAGCCTCGTGCGAGCTCCGTTACAATCCTGAAGCACTTGTTGTCAGGGCTACTTGAGCTGGCTCATGTAGCACCAGATTAAAGCAATCATAAATTCTGAAACAGATGTTGGATCCTGCTTTATGCCCAGCTGGGAAGAACGTTAGCTCACTTGACAGATGAGAAGAGGGAGAGTGGTCCAGAGGTCAGGTAACTCCAAAATCTCAGCGGTAGTTACCAGAGACAGAACCTAAGATTGCAACCCCTGCCAAGAGGTACTTGTACCCCTTTTCCCCGAATGACAGAGAAGGCTGGGCTTTCTTTTGTTTGGATCTGCTTGGTGGTGGTTTTGTCTCTCCAACATGTTCCCCTCCTGATCCCAAACTTGGCCACTGTCCTCAGGATGCTATCAGACACATCTTTTCTTTCCCTGCCATCAGCAAGGGCACCTTGCTGAGCGTGTGGCTGGACTAATGCCAGTGTGTTTGTCACCTCCCTGGCCTGGCGAGCGCTCCCTCCTGGCAGAGCTCGCCCAGCCTAATTGCTTGTGTTGTATCCCAGCTGCCTGACATATGCCAAACCCATGTGTTGACTCCCTGATTTGGAGGCAGCTACAACAGGGCATTTCAAATTGGCTTTTGTGAGCTCTAGCAGGAGTAATTGGAGACTGCGAATTGTGCTGTTTTCTAGCTGTAGCACCTAAAGTTAGTGCCTGGCTCACAGTAGATGCCCTGACTTTTTTAATCAAAGTGCATTTTCATGGGCTCAGACACATGAAGCAGTAGACATGGTGTGGACTTGAAAGTGAGGACTCCTAGCTCTGAGCATCAGCGCAGCCAATTGAGCTGCGTTCTGGGGGACACTGAGCACGTCTTTTTCCTCCGGTTTTAGTCTTCCAATCATTACCCATCATGGAGCAATATCTATGCTTGCCTTGGCCCTGACAATGAGGCTCCGGTCCTCCTCCAGGTCACACATAAGTGCTTTGTAAACTTGGGTGATATAATCATGACAGTCATAACAGAGAGACACTGGCAAATAAAGAGGCGTCCAGAGGCAAAGGGGATCAGTTGTGTCAGGAGACCTGGGGACAGCTTTACTGAGGTGATGACAGCATAGAAGGGATGCCAAGATACGGAGAAAACGATACCTCAAAACTCTATTACCCCAAAATGGTGATCCAGAGAAATCAAGCCTGGCACCTTCACGCCTGCTGACCAGGGCCCACCTCAGCAGCTGGAGGGCCACGCTGGCGGTGACAGTGGCCTGAGCCCGTGTCAGGCGTTTCTCCCCAATATTGTTCTCCATTCTGGAACTCCGCACTCAGAGCCACATCCCCAACACCAAGCGTATCCCTGGCCCTTCCTATGGGGACAGCATTCCAGTGGTCTGGGGAAGCAAGAATAGATTCGGAAGTGTTCAAAAATTCTATAAGTTGGTTGCTAAATACAACCACTATTAAAAATTATATAAAATTAAATAAATTATTTAAAAACTTATGAATACTCAATACTTACCACTTTCTAAATATTTTACTGTATGTTACAGTTTGCTTCTGGTGACAGACTCACTGAATCTCTGTGATAGGGGCACCCACGTGGTCCTCTGACTCTGCTATGTATCTCCCGCCAGGCCTGTCAGTAGCCTGGGGGTCAGCCGTGGCGCAAGCATTCACACCACAGCAATGAGCAAGTGCTACAAACTCTGGCTGGTCTTTTAAGAGTCTGTTTTTTTGTGTTTTGGCTTTTTTTTTTTTACTGGGGATTGAACTCCCAGACATTGTGCTTGCCAGGCAGGCACTTATGCTGCTGAGCTATCTCCCCGGTGCAAGAGTCTGTTGTTAGAAACTAGGACACCACTGCTGGTGTCCAATGAAAGTGCTGAGGAAGAAAGCAAGCGTTGCGAATCCTGATACTCCTCTGCACACTGCCCCAAACAGAGCGATGTGACAGGAGACACTTCAGCGGCCTCCACAGAGCCAACTTCCCATCTCCTCTTTTCCAGGAAAGGCTTTATGTTAAACTAGATTTTGGGATTTTTTAAAATTTCTTTAAAAAATCATTTATTTATGTATCTGGTACAGGATCTCGCTACTCACCTCGGACTCATAGTGATCCTTCAGTCTCAGCCTCCCAGCACTAGGATTACAGGCATGCACCACCACACCTGCTTTCAGTAGCCACCTTGGTGCAGGGCTGGTGTGGCATGCAGTACCGGGGATCAAACCCGGGTCCTTGGGCTTACCAGAAAGGCACTTAGACTGCTGAGCTATCTCCCCAACCCAAACTGGATTTTCTTGATAATGAAAATCATGGTCAAATAGAAGGTGGATAGAAGTGTTTCCAGTACTTGCTTTCTGAGCCGAATGCCTGTCTCAGCATGAGAACCCTATGGCCTAGCGGAGTAGAGGGCATCACCTTAATCTTCTTCAGAACCCACAAGCAGTCCCAGGAATCTGGGCTAGGATTGCAGCTGCTGGCTTCAGAGTCCAAGGCTGTGTGACAGCCAGAAGGTGCTGATTTAGGGCTCACCAGGGATCAGGAAATCCCCAAAAAGAGAGAAATCAGAGAAGGCTGGTGGTGTGAGGGACAGCAACAGGGCCACCCCAGAGGGAAGCCGTCCCCAGAGGGCTGGCTGTTGACCAGGCAGAATCCACAGGTGCACATGTCAGGAGAAGGCTGGATGGTAGCCAGCCTCTAGAGAGGAGGTCTGTCAGGAGTTCGCTGGAGGGACAGAGTCCCAGCAATAATGAGTTCAACTGGCCTCCGTTAAAGAAAGCATCTCTCAGTACCAGCTGAATACACTTGATGGACTAAATCTTTCCCATTTGCGGAGAGATAATTTCACGTAAATGTATTGGGAGACCTTCAGAGCAGGACTGAACGTCTTTGCAAAGGCTGGCCTGCTCCACTTGTTTGCCATGTAATTGCATTTTGACCAAGGGCCTCGGAAGGAAACCACTGACTGAATTAACACTAACCAGATTGTGTGGAGTGAGGTGGGGTGGGGTGGGGTGGCATGCCTGCTGCATTGTGGGTAGTTGTTCTTACCTTCGGAAAGGACAAGCTGACACTAGTGAGACCAGCTGCGTACAAGCCTGGTGTTAATTGCTTTTCTCATCAAACAGAGAAAAGTTTATCACTCTGGGAAGGTAGCGATGTGGGCACCTAATAAAGCAAGGATGGAGTTTGCCATCTTTTTTTATGAACACCCCTGGGTCTCATCAGTAGATTTTCCCTAGACCAGGAAAAAAAAAAATCTGAGGCGCAGTGAGTGGAGAGAGCTAAATGGGCAACAGCTCTTGTGTCTTTGCCTCAGGTTTTTCTTGTCATCAAGGCCTGTGTCCCCGTGATCCTTTGCGGACACCAGCCGGCGCCGTCATTTCCACCTATTGCTTATAGTGAACAGACTGGCCTAGCATTGGTCCCAGAATTGGACACTCAGAGTCCAGCCTGGTTCAACCACCACTTTCCTACATGGCTTTGAGCCAATAACGTGAACCTCCAAGTTCCCTCCACTGAAATGAGAGGTTCTGCCAGCTCAGTGATTTGGCTTCGCCTTGCTTTGCCTTCTACAGAGACTAAGGCTCCACACAGCAGCCTTCAGCCAACTCCAGGACAGAAAAGGTCTTTACCTCCACCATGCTAGCGCAGGCCTTCTCTTGGTGTGTTTCCTACTCTGCGGTCCTTATAAAATGTCATGTCTTAAAGGCTTCCGTTTCTAAATGAGGTGGGAAGCCATCATTCTGGGTGATCTATAGCTTTTGCATTTATTTGACCAATCCCCCCACCATGTTGCGATGGCCCAGTAATTGTCAGGCATAGTCCAGGCAGTGTAAAGAGTTAAGCTGGGACCTGCCCTCAGAGAGCTGCTCTAGTGGGGCGAGGAGGTTAAATTTTGGAAGAGATCAAGGTGTCTGTGTTAGACTTTGTGGGGCAGAGGAACTAGTCTGATGAAAACAAAGACTTAATCCCTGAAAGGGTGCAAATGTTGGTGGGGACAGGGGATAACATTTAGGACAGGTGCAACATTCCCCTGGCGAGTTGGGGAGGGCGGGGTGGAGGGTATGGGGGCTCTAGTGCCTGCCCTTCCCCCACCCGAACGCCAGACGGGAGAAGTCCCTTCCATCCCTCTCCCTGTTGTTTGTCTTCATTCTTGATGATTCAGCTAGTGACTAATAGCTGTTGTCACCTATGGAGGCTTTTTTGCATCAGGGTAGAGAAAAAAGAGGCTCAGAAACCAGCATGCTGCTGCAAAAGTGCAGAGAGCTCGGAGACAGCAGAGCTGGGCTTGGGCCGGGCGCCTGACTCTGAGTCTGCAGGCAGCACCACCGCGTGTTGCCTGCTAGGACCAGCTTTTCCTTACAGCTGCATGTGGTACCTCAGAAAGATAACCTCCGAATGAGATACTCGAAAACACTTTCCAAGGACATTTCAAGAACACTTTGATGCCTTAAACTGAGGTGATTTTTTTTATGGTTCTAGACAGTGAACTCAGAGCCTTCGCACTGAGAACATCCTCAGCTCTATTTATTTACTTAGTTATTTTTTTTTTAATTTTGAGATAGAGTCTCACTGAGTTGCACAGGCTAAGCTTGAATTCGCGAGCCTCCTCCCTCAGCCTCCCAGAGTCCTGGGATTGAGGCGTGCACCACTGCCCACAGTTTGAGGTGATAGCTTTGAAAAGCTATTGCTCATCTGGAGTGAGTTACACATGAGCCCCAAGGCACAGTGAGTGTCTGGGTGGCCAGGCCCCCGTCCTCTGCTCTGGGGCCCCCTGCTGACCGGCTCCTGCCAGGAGCAGCACATCACGTCATTCTCTCCTCTCTCCCCACAGGCATGCGTGTGTCATCCGTGGGCAAGTGATGACGTCAGATGGGACCCCTCTGGTCGGTGTGAACATCAGCTTCGTCAACAACCCTCTCTTGGGATACACAGTCAGCAGGCAAGATGGCAGGTATGGGCCCAGGAAGGCAGGCTGTCAGGTCTGGGACCTCTCAGTGGCTGCTGCTGGATTGACGACATGCGGAGAAGTTCTGAAGCCAAATGCCAGCTCTGAGGCTCCCGGGTCGTGTGGCCTTACCTGCCTCTGGGCTCCGCGCACCTTGCTGTAGACCATGCAGTCTCTTCTCATTGCGTCGCAGAGGAAGCGCAGCACACCTTTTCTAGGTAACCCTGCTCCGTAGCTGACAGGAAACTCTGTCATGCAGTCACCTTTCTGCAGCCTGCATGGCCCCAGAACCCGCAGCCATTTCTGTTGTGTGGTTGCTGGCCTACGACTGCACAGGCCACTGAGTCCTGCACCTTTAATTCTTCTGAGAATCATCCATAGGATAAAGTAGAGTGGTGCCCTGGCTCACGAGCGGCATTCTCTCCAAGATTCTAGTCATGAACCGAATCAAATTTCCCCATGAGGTCGGCACTGAGTTTAACTCAGTTCTCACCCATTTCAGTTTGCAGCCAGAACCCCGGGAATAGTTGAGGTGGTGACCCAAGGTACACTGCCCCTGCACTGAGCTGCATCCCCAGGCCACAGTGGGTGCTCAGTGAGTCGTAGCTCCCTGTGCCCCTTGTGTTCACTGCGGCACTGCCAGGGCTGGCGCACAGTGAGTATACAATAAGTATCAGCTGTGTAATAAAATTACAGCTCATCAAATAATGAGACGGTGGCAGGGCAGGCAGTGAGAGTACTTGGAGAAGGAGGAACAGAAAGGAAGTAGAATATTTAGGCTGTCAGTGCTGACAAGCCCTCTCTTTTTAATAAAATCAGGTAGTGGCAGTCCATCTGGCTCAGTGTGGGTCCATAAGGTTGATTTTTTCCAATTTGTGTTGGAAATTATGCTCCAGCCTGATTGATTTTAGCACCTCTTTAATCCAATATCAGACGTGAACGCGTCCCGGCCGAGGTGCTAATGAAGTGGAGGCTCGCCTGCTTGTCCACGTGTGTGCCTTTCAGACGGGGTTAGCAGGCCCAGTGCGGGGAGCCTAGGCTCCATGTGAACGGGAAGGGCCCGGCTGGCAGGGAAGGGTGGCTGTGCGCCAAGGGTAACCTGGCCACGCGGGCGAGGCTGCCGCTCTGGCCCTGCACACACTCGGACCCTGAGGCACCTCAGTGCAGACCCCCTGGAGCACAGAAGAATGTTAAGCCATCCCCATCTGGGCTGCCTGGCTTATGCAAATGCAGCTATGGACGTCCTAGGCAGCAGGTGTTCCAACGGTCCTCAGAAAGAGACCTTTAGGTCTGCTCTGGTCGTGAAGCTTGCTTGTCATTCACCTGTGATGGCAAATTGTCAGCCCTTATGCCTGCTAAGCATGGTTAGAATAGGTCTATAAAACACACCCACACCTGCATAAGGGTGGCCTCCCTTGGGAAAAGCTCACTGTCCCGTACTTCAAGGCCTTGATTCTTCCTGTTTGTGCCACTCCTGCAATCTCTGCTGCCTTGTGGGCCTGAATGTCCGTGGGAGAGATGTTTCCTCCATCTGCCTCCAAAGCTGCGGCAGAACAGACAGGGTGGCTGTCATGTAGAGCTTGTGTTTAAACTCACTTCTTACCAGTGCATTGTGGGGTTCAACTTCCTTCTCACAGTAGTACCTAAATACAGGGAGACTTGTTCCCATACTGTTCCCATACTGTCTGGAACCCCGTTTGTTATCTGTGAGCAGGGAGCCTCTGGACTCTCTCCTCTACCCTTCTAGACCCTTCCCTCATCCTTCTCTACTCTAGGAGAAAATATAAGGTTAGCGATAGTCTGAGATAGAAATACATGGGACTGCATTGAGGGCCCAGGGACTGCGTCTGGCCGGTCTGTGTGACCCTCGCCTTCCGTATGCACACTATGACACCCACACCCACTCCTCCACACACAAACACACATGCACACAACCCTGAAACAACAGACTTGAAGTCTTAGCAAGACCTCATAAACAGAAAACTGTGAAAGAGCAGTTAGCCAAAGAGCTCATTGAAAAGTCACAAAATGGAAATCATGAAGAAAAACTAAAAGAATACCAGACAAGAGAAACAGTTCAGGCTCACTGAATTGAAAAATGGCATGATACAGAGCACGAGCCCCGGGAATGTGCGGGCCTGTGCTCTCTGCCCATCACCCATCTGAATAGCAAGCCAGCCAAGTGCTTGTGCTGGTCAGCTTCTTCTACAGATGAGGAAACTGAGGCTTGAGCAGTGCTGTAAGTCACCTGGGGGGCATACTGTAAGTCAGCCATGCTCCAGCCCGCTCTACACTACTTGGCTTCCTTTGTGAACCCAGCCTTCCTTTCAGAGTCAGATCCACAACAAGGCTTGCCTGCCAGATGAGTGGGCCAGGCCCTGGCCCCAGCGCATGCTCTCAGCTCTTGGCAAGAGCGGCGGCCCCAGCCTGCCCACGGCCGTGAGAATACGCTGCCTTGGGTTTGCCTCCCTCCCGCCCCATGCTCAGCCTCTAATACAGGGAGCTTGTGAGTCAGGCCAACATTCTGTTTGATAGTTTAAAATGTTCTGTCAAAGCACAGATGCTATTAGTTCTGTGACAGGAAAGTGGTTCTCTGAACGTTTCCCCAAAACCATAGATATTCTTCTTAACTCTTGATCCAAAATAAACACCTACCCTGGTGCTTCCCTTCATTGAAGAATGCTGGCACCTAGCTTCTTCCCGAGTGGTACAGGAAGGGCTGAGTGAGGGGCACTCCTCATGGATAAGAAGTTCCTAAAGAGGGCAGACAAATCGTCGTTAGAGCTGGTGCACCTGAATCGGGAGAACCAGCTAACAAGAGCAGCATTGGGCACCCGGAGAGGGCGGTTGGATATAGAGTCTTTGTGGCCTCCAAAGACAGGAAAAACAACCTGGAGCAGGGGGCCCAGCCCCCCAAAGTAGGTTCATCAGGGTGAAGAGCCCACACTGGGGCCTTTCACACCAGCGGTCCAGGTGAACACTGCATGGCTTGCGACACCAGCCAAACTGAGCGAGAACTCACTCCAACTGCTCAGCAGATAGCAAGTTCAGAAGTGGCTGGCAATGTCGCTCCTGCATTCATTCTGTTAATTTTTAACCATCAAACACTTGGCTTGGCCCTGGACTGGCAAGGGAATCAATGTCCCTGGCCCACGAGCTGAATGAGTAGTTACAGGGTAATGTGACATGGGCTCCAGAAAAGGAGTGGACATGCTACATGCAAGTTGGGCTGGGAACCGGAAGGCTGGGGGGAAAGACATTTGAACTGCTCACAAAACCAAGACAAGGACAGACGTTAGGCATGTACCATGAAAGAAACAGCTAAAAGGACTTTGTCCAAGAGACACTGCAGCCAGGGATAGCAGATGCACAGGGCCACTGCTTCTAGGTCTCAAAGGAATGATGTGGAGCAGAGGGAGGAGACCAATCTGTGGTCATTTCAGCAGGTACAGTCAGGCCAGTAAATGTGGAACTAGAGGAGGGGGACCCAGGTATAATTCCCACTTTTTTTTTTTTTTAAGTTGAGCTACAACGAAAGCTGGCCCACAGTTCTGCGGTTCCAGCAAGACCCTGTCCCTGGGAGCGAGAGAAGGAGCTGGCGGTCCCATGGTGGGGATCCTCTAAAAAGGACCAAGCGCCCTGTGGGGAGCAGGGCTGTGCCCTGTGCCCAGTAGATTCCCCTGCAGTGCTCAGCTGTTGGTGTCATGTAGCTGTCTTAATGGTAGAAAGAACAGAAAACTCCAGTCTAAGGTCTGGTTGCATGGTAACCACAGAACCTCAGACAGCCAATGCCCGAGCTGGCCAAGCAGCCCTGGCCCACAGGATTAGCACATCTCCTCAGCTCAGGCCTGGTTTCCTTTCCCTTTGTCCGTAACCCAAGCTCGCCAGTCTCTGAGCATGTGGCTGCGGAACCATGGGTCAGGCTCCCTTGGGAGCCGGGCACCGTCAGAAACCCTGAGGAACACCAGTCTAGACTCACTTTCCTTGGATTTTCCACTGTCTTTGCCAAGGCTTGGAAGGGCCAGCACCTGGCCAGGTCCACCTGCAGGTGATAGGAGTTAACGAGAGCTCAGACACCAGAGCCCAGCAAGCTACCAGCATTTTTCTGGCTGGATCTTGTCTGGGCACAGGGTATCTGGGGTAGTGTGGCCCATGTATCTAGAAACCTTGATTTAGCATAGTTGTCCTCTGTGTCTTACATGGTGTTCAGCCTGCTAGTCTAAGTATTAGTCTGTGTTTATAATGATTAACTGGATAAAGACTTAGAAAAAATCTGATGCTAGCAAAAAAAAGAAGAAAAAATGTTAAAAAGCAAAAGCAGAGGTGGAGGTGGAGGGGAAGGGGAGCAAAAAATAATTGCAGTGTGTTATGTATTTGTAGCAGATCCCCACAGCAAATGCAGTCATTATGTGCTGCAACCTGTACTAACAAGAAACACATCAATAAGCAGAAAAAGAGATAGTTGCAGGGCAAGATGAGGAAAACTCTGCCCCTGACATCCCCTGTAAGTCTAGAATAAGAGGCTCGAGTGGGGGCCATGTAGGCTGGGGAACGGCCTGGGGACACAGGAATCAGACACAGGACCGGGCCAGGGCTGCCGTCCGCCCGCAAAGCTCCGAGCAGAGCCGTGCCGCGGTGATCTCATGCTGCCAGGTGCTCGGTGCTCCATCCTCTGGTTCCCCTTCCCCTCCTGCGACACTGTGCTGCGGTCCTATTGTGCTGTCTCTAAACAGCTCTGCTGCTTTGCAATCGCAAAGGCCTCTGTTGAGCGATCAAGTAATAAGAGCCAAAACGGCAGCAGTCACAGAGTCTGAGTCAGTTAGGAGCAGTCCACCCAAACCTGTGCATTTTACGGCCAAAAATGCGAAGTGACTTATTTAAGACCACACTATCACTAATGACAGAGCCAGGACCAGGCTCAGGGCTCCCAACTCCCAGGTCACAGCATTTTCCACTTTGAGGGAGACTTTGCCAGGCATTATGTCCCACGGTGTAGGGGCCTGGGGTGCCAGGAGCACCAGGGCCTCAGCTCTCCTGTGCCCTGGAAAAGGGCTCTCTGTCGCAGGGAGTAATCTGGCTTCAGTAAGTTCTCTCTGGTGAATCGCTGGACAGTAGCACATGTTTCTGCGCACGGGCCCTGCCTGTGGGTGCAGCTGAGTCCCTAGGTTGGAGATGGCGAAGCTTTCAGAGGCTGAGGGCCACACTACAACCCCAAGCCCTCTTACTTATACTGAGGGTTTAGTTTAGGAAAAAAAAATCTGTATTAACATCTTTAGTCTTAAAAGAAAAACACAGTAGCACACGTACCACAGGTTCGCCACCACTGCTGCAGGTGCTGGGGTCTCCCTCGCCAGGTGCTCAGGGACTCCGTGTAATTTTCTCCTTTCTCTCCTCCTCCTGCCGTCTGTGCAACCCCCCATTGCCGCAGCTTCGACCTGGTCACAAATGGGGGCATCTCCATCATCCTGCGGTTCGAGCGGGCGCCTTTCATCACACAGGAGCACACCCTCTGGCTGCCCTGGAGCCGCTTCTTTGTCATGGAGACCATCGTCATGAGGCTCGAGGAGAATGAGATTCCCAGCTGTGACCTGAGCAACTTCGCTCGCCCCAACCCGGTCGTGTCTCCATCCCCACTGACGTCCTTCGCCAGCTCCTGTGCAGAGAAAGGTCCTATCGTGCCAGAAATTCAGGTACCTAACTGCATTTTTCCATGCTTTTGTTTCATTTTGGGGGTGGTGTAGGGTCTCAGAAAGAATAGAAAGAAGAAAGCTAGGGCATGGGCCAGTGGCACCACAGATACGCATCTGACTACAGATCAGAAAGAAGGAAGTTCCTTGCTAGCAGCCCAGTTTGCAAAACACAACTGCCAAATCCTGCAGCAGGCACCGGGACACGAGGCCACTGTCCTCCATGCTGAAAACACATGACACGGTCGGCCTCCCTGGCACACTTGGGCTAAGTCGGCTCCTCCTCCCTCTACGTCCCCATTGGCTCACTTCTGCTCCGCTTCCTGAAGCTTCCAGGGAGTCCCCTCTCAGTATTTCTGCTCAAAGAACAATAGGTTCTACCAAGAGGAATAAGCCGCAGGGTCCCAAATAGTGAGCACTATAATAGAGATTAAATGAGAAAAATGCATATGAAGTACCTAGCGCGATGTCAGACCCCTAGTAAGTGCTCGATATATTCTAGCTATTGTTATTATTATTATTTAACACACACTGCCTCCATGCCAATTAAGAAGTACTTTGGCTCAAATCTACACACCCAAGTGTTTTACTTAATTGTCATTAGAGGGAAATCATTAGGAAAGATGTGTTTTAATCTGAGGCAAATCAGGATAAATTCTTTGCTTAACAAAGCTCTACCAGGTTGCGTGTCCTGTGGCACCCCCGGCCTGATCATTAAGGGCAGAAAGGAAGTACTGAGGAAGGGCAGAGGTAGCAGAGCCCAGGACTGTCGCCTCCCCGCTTAAGGAGACCTGCATGGTGATGGGTTCCCAGGTGCCGGTAGAGCAGCACTTACACATTTCTGTGTATTTCCCGCTTGGCTGAGCAAACACATCTCTGGTGTGCCCCGGTGCACGGCTTTAACACCAGCACACAAGAAGAAATGCAACCCTTTCAGAATTGTTCCTGCGCTCACAGGTTGCAAGCGCTCTCCTTTTCAGAGATTTGGCTCCAGACTCCTGTGTGAACGCCCAGGCTGACCTTCCTTGTGATATGGTTGTCAGTGGAGACAGAACTTGCTGGAAAAGCTAATTTGTTACTCAGCCCTGCCTTAGCTCCAGCGAGACATTTTCCCCAAGAGTGGGGACTTTGGGACAAGTGAGGTTGAGGGTCATGCCTTCTTTGCAGTGCTTCCTGACCTGGACACTCCTAGGTCCAGTGGGGCACAAACCATGGGTATTGTCAGACTCCAGAAATACACAGAAACCAACACTTGGGTTTCCCCAGGCCTATCATGAGTTAGCTTTTGCAAGTGCTAGGAAGTTGGAATCATGAGGGAAAATATTTGTAAGAGCATCAGGAGCCCCTGAGCCCTGCCCATGGTTCACCAGGGGCAGAGCCTTCTTCTCCTGGACCTTGTAATCCACAGTTGCAGAGCTCGGCCTTGGCTTTAGCTCCACCCCCAGAAACCCTAGGTCAGGAGAGCTGATCTTGTGAAGGTTCACGCCCTTCTGAGGAATGCACAGAATGAAGAGGCCAGGCCCCCTGTGAATGCAGGGTAAAATAATCGCTGTCCCTTGACTGAACAGGTTAGTCCCAATTGATGAAACAGTCCCTTCTTGAAAGCGAGCTCAGAACACCAAGCCCATGAAATTGCTGCTGTCACACGCCAGATTGCTGGGCATTCATCGACTCTGTCTGTCTTGGGTCCCAGCAGATGAAGCCCTGCCTTCCTCACCACTCTGTTTCCCTGACAGGCCCTTGTGTGGAGAAACTCCGCCGCCAGCTTGGCCTCTCTGAGCCAAGTAGGGCCGTTGGAGCAGGTCTTTGCCAGGCTGACAACTGGTTTGGCCGATCATGCAGAGGCTGTTTCCCTCCCTAGAAAGAGGCGCTACTGAAGATAGATACTCCTTTAGGAAACGTTCAGAGCAAAGCCGTCCATCTCAGGCAGCTGTCCTCATTAGTTGAAGAGACAAGACTCTCCCTAGCAGCCCCTGCTTCCAGCACTGGCAGCACCTGCAGCACCGCTGTCCTAATGATCAGCGTGCCAGGCACTTCTCAAGTGTAACCTCCTTCCATCCTGCGCTCATACAGCAAGGAAGTGGACACAGAGGTGCCCTGAGGATTTTTTGGTGAATTGGAGTCTGCGTACTGCTAAGTGTCTGATACACATTGTCCTGCGTATTTCTGCCAACCGCATGGAAGAGCAGGAACATCGTGTTAAGCACCACAGAAAAGGAGGCAAGCCTCCTGGAGACCCGGTGGGAGTGCTAGGCTGTGCCACACACGCCGTGGCCACAAACCAAAGCCTACCAGTTTGTTTTCCTTCCCCCTCAGTCCCTTTCCTTCTTTCTCACCCCTTGTTCCCCTCTGTCCTCATCTTCTTCATCGCCCTCTTTCTTTTGATTCCTTCTCCACCCCATCTTACCTCCTCCCCTCTGCTGTCTTCTGCCTCCTGAAAACCCAGAGTCTGAGGCTGCGGCCATCTCCCTGCCCCTGAGTAATGCAGTAACCACCCATGGCTCACTCGGTAACCACCCATGGCTCACTCGGTAACCACCCATGGCTCACTCGGTAACCACCCATGGCTCTGTCTCCACTCTAGGCTCTGCAGGAGGAAATTGCCATCTCGGGCTGCAAGATAAGGTTGAGCTACCTGAGCAGCCGCTCGCCAGGCTACAAGGCCGTCCTCCGGATCAGCCTCACCCACCCTACCATCCCCTTCAACCTCATGAAGGTCCACCTCATGGTGGCGGTGGAGGGCCGCCTCTTCCGGAAGTGGTTTGCTGCTGCCCCCGAACTGTCCTATTATTTCATCTGGGACAAGACGGATGTCTACAACCAGAAGGTGTTTGGGCTGTCCGAAGCCTTTGGTAAGCCTCCTCACCACAGGAGACAGTGCTGCCTCCGAGAGAGAGTATGGGGGAGGGTCCTTTCCACTTTCCTGGCTATATCTTAAACCCCTTTCTCCTGTCAGATCAAAAATACCTCAAGATTAATTGGCTTGTAAGATGTCTCAGTGGCCTTGTGTAACATGAAAGAATGGCAAGAAAGACCTAAACGTGGGAAATGCTACAAAACCCAACGGCCCTCAGAAAACACTGTGGTGCTGTGTGATGGGCTAAGACACATACGTGCCGGGTGGTAGACTGCGGGCAGGCGTTGCCTGGTCCTGCCACAGCCACCCTGTCTGTCCGAACACAATAAAGTAGAGAAGCTCAAAACTCAGGCTTCTTTCCTTTGTACAAGGTACAGGAGCTGAAATACTGCCTTCATCCGAAATGCACTTTAGCCTCGTGCTAGCCAGGAGAAGGAGGTGTCGCTGTTGGTCCCACTGTCCTCTGTAGAGATGGAGCAGGAGCTGCTACAGCTTCCGCTGCCCCACCGAGACCCTGCCCTCCAAGCCTGGCTGGACTCCTTACAACTTCCATAGCAGAGCATGGTCCCCACTAGGGTACAGACCTGGGCGTTAGCAGCCCTGACCTGCAGGCCAACCCAGCAGATTGTAATAACTGCCCCGCAAGTCTCTTCTCACCTGGAACCCCACCCCAGTACTATTTCCTTTGCAGGCAAAGGAAGAAGCAAGGGCCAGAGAAATAAAGCTGTTTTTAGGAGGAAAGGAAGGAGGCTTAGAAAGGCAAGATGAGAGGGGAAGAACTAAGAGCCCGGCCCCAGAGGAGCATGTGCGCTGGATGCCGTGTGCCTCGTCCACTTGCAGCTCAGTGAATCCTTACGGCCACCCCATCCTTCTGGCCGCCTCGCACTGAGTTGTTACCCCTAAATTCTGTCTGAGGAAGCTGAGGCCCAGAGAGGCAAGATGGCTGCCCTTGATGTGCAGCCCAGGGCTCCCCTGACCGCCCCCCCATCTTCACAGTAGGTGGCATTCTTAGCCGGTGGCACCCGGGAGACGGAGATGCAGTCCCACTGTTACAGACCTTTGGCGGAACAGATCACACCTGTGAGCGCAAGTGTTAGCACCCCCGCGGCGGAAGTGAATGTGCTTAGCACGCCCTGGTTGGTCAGAGGGGAAGCGTCCACATCATGAAATCTCAGGGCTGAGACCACAGGTGACCGGGAGGGGCACCACCGGCACTGCCAGCAGGACTCGGGCACAGTCACGTCTCCCAGCCCAGTCCCCGGGCCATGTGTGTGGTCCTATTTTACACAACCTACAAGAAACTGAGATTTCTACCTGGGAACCAGAACCAGTGAGATGCCCACACAGCCTGGCCGTGACTTAGGACCATTTTTATCCTTAAAGAGCAGCTGTACATCACTGTGAAAAGTTAAATGCCCCAAGCGCAGCTAGTATGGCCGCTTATTCCTCTCTCAAACGTGGTGGGACATTGCGCGACACAAAGTCACACCTCACCCCGAGGTATGAGGAGCAAGTGGCATGCCTGTCCCTCCTAGTCACCTTCCCAAGGTCAGCTGCAGAGCTTTCCCAGCCTGGGCGCAGAGAGCCTGCCCTGCGTCACCTTCATCCCAGGGACCTTCTGAGGGTCAGGTTTTATGAAACCAAGCCATTTTCAGGCTTTGAAAACGCAAAGCAGCATCCAGCTTTACAAGTACCCCATGTGTTCATTATAAATGAAATGTGTCTTTTTTCCTTTATGAAAGCAATCTCATGTTCATTCATAAAAATTTGAGAAAAGGAAAAAGGAAAGAAAATCATGTGTTCCTATAACAAATATAACTCTGTTAATACTTTAAGTCAATTTTTTTTTTCATATGGAAGTTTTGGGAGCTTTGTGTGTTTTGTGTTATTTAGTGCAGATAAATTACTGAAGATGAGCAGTTATTCCAACTGCGTATTTGTGCATCGGCCCTTCCCTGGTCTCCACAACCATGATCTCCAGGGGCTGCATGATATTCCTGGATTGGACATGTTTAGGCATACGTAACCTCTTCTCTTTTTGACCTTTTAGATTAATTCTAATTTCTACCACTAGAAATAATGCTGTAGTGAAAAATTTTGTACATAAAATATTTCATGTATTAAAGACTACTTTGCTACAGGATAAATCCTGAGAGTACTTGACTGACCTTATCAGATACAAAAGTTACATTTCTTGTTATATAGGTCTTGCTTTATCTTGGTCTTAACCATCCAGCAGAAAAGTATAAAAACGAGGTATATAAAGGAAATCTATATTAATACGATGAGCTGTAAAAAGGCTCAAGTCAATAACTTCTGAGGATAACCCCCTAATATTATAGACTGCTAGACAGTGTTAGATTGTTTAGTTGAATTCAAACACCTATAGTATTTAGATGCCAATAGAATATTCACCTCTGTAGGACAAAAAAAAGGATACAAAGGAAAGATCATTTTGTATTTATATATACAAAATAGGATAAATTTACAGCTACTTTCGCTTAATTCAATGAGAAGAAAGAGGTGTACTAACAGTGTTTGGACCGAATATCCTGTCTGCTTCTTGTACTATGGATAACCACTAAGAAGATAACAATGTACAGTGTATTGATTATCAAAACTATCCTATTAATCAGCTGTGAAACTCTCATTCACATTTATTTCTCAAAAAAAGTATTACTATCAAAAATAAATAAATAAAGACCACTTCCCTGGAATGGATTCACCTGGGTTTTTTAAAAGTAGTCATTTGTTTAACTTTTCATAACACTGGTTACATATATATATATATATATATATATATATATATTCACAGTCAGCATAGCTGTGCTAGTATTGAACGTGATTCTGGTTCCAGGTGGACCTAAGGTCCTTTTTTCCTGTTCTGCGAAAGACAATGAGAGGGCCTCACTTGCAGAGGGCCCAGGAAGAGGCCTTATTCATCAGTGTGTTTTGTTCCTCTTGTTCCGGACAGTTTCTGTGGGTTATGAGTACGAGTCTTGTCCAGATCTCATTCTCTGGGAAAAAAGAACAGCGGTGCTGCAGGGCTACGAAATCGACGCGTCCAAGCTTGGAGGCTGGAGCCTGGACAAGCATCATGCCCTGAACATTCAGAGCGGTGAGTGGAAGGGGAAGTCCCTCTCACACCCTCCCTGCCTGTCCTCCAGACTAAAGAATGCATACTTGGACTAAGGAGAGCTCCTGCAATATCAGCCAGTCAGAAGGCTGTCAACACATTGCTTGGGGGTGCCCTGAGCCTGTCGCCATGCCAAGCATTAGGGATGTAGATGTGAGAGGCCCAAGGCTTTGTGTGGGCAGAGATAAGTTCTTACGAGAAGGTCTCAGTGCTGTGCCCGAGCCATGAGGAAGGTGTGGGATAAACAGAGGCATGAGAGGGGCCTTGCTTAGTGTCTTGGTTCCTCCAGGCATCCCTAGGGGCAGCGGGACCTCCGAAGGGCTGCAGGACAAGCCTTTGTACCAAGGAAGGGGATTGTTCTCGCAGAGAGCCCAGCATACACCCAAGTGCTGGAGCCGGGAAGAGGAGCAATCAGAGAGATAGTCCTTCCCGATTTCACTAGAAAATGAGGTGAAGGGAATCCAGGCCGGAGCCCAAGCTGGGGCTTGAGCTGCTGGAGCCCAGAGTGAGCAGACCAGAGCCCTGGACTGCACCCCGGGGCCTCTGAGAGCCTTGCAGGCCCCATAGTCACACCTGTACTTCAGATGAGGCCATCTGACCATGCTTCTGCAGGGAGCTAAACACAGTGACCACATCACAGGGCTCCTGGCTAATCTGAAAGGCACCGAGTGCTTGCTAAAGCCAGAGCGGGTTTGGGGAGGAAGTTGGCAAACTAATTCTAAAATTTATGATAAAATAAAGACTTTTAAGCAGCTAAGGCAGCCTTGAAAGTAGGACCCAGGAAACAGAATTGCCAGATGGTAGGCGGAGACAAGTAACTGGATTCTGTGGGTCAGAGCAAGGAGTTCAGGAACCAACCTGTGAGCAGGATTCACACTACAAGTGGCCCCAGGTGTCAGGAAAGCTCAAGTACCAAAGTGCCAAGTGGTTAGAGCTGACCTCTTGCTCACCTACAGGCCTGGTGCTGAGAGTGTGGGGCCGTGAGGTCGGAAGCCAGGCGCCCCGCTCTCCTCAGTACACTCAGGCCTTCTGCACCCCGAGGGCAGAGTCCAAGGTGACCACTTTAGTCCTAGCCTTTCCAAGCAGCACAGAGGAAAAGGACAAGCAAGCCTGTGCATTGTAAGGTCCCCCTGCCCTGCGCAACTAGCTGCCACATTGCTGCAGCTTATGTGGCACTGGCCAGGACATAGTCACAGATGGAGCTGCCCCCAGGGACATGCGGGTAGAGGTGGGGAACTGTGAGCTGTTTCAGGCACCGCTCCGGCCTGATGTGAGGAGTTCTGTATCTACACATGAAGCAAAGGTCACACGGGAGAGGGACCCATGGGTGACGGAATTTCTGCCACACATCAGGTATAAGGAAGGACTTGGCATATGGCAGACACAGCAGTACATTTCAGTGGAGAATGCGTGGATGCATTAAAAACTGACACAGGAAGTAGTTGGCTCGATATGTGGACAAAAAATTACATTGAGCCCCCCACTGCATGTCACATACAAAGTTAATTTAAATATTTTATAAAAATCTAAGTGTACAAGAGAGCAATTAAAAACTAATGGACTCATCCACATGGCTGCACTGACAAAGGTTCTACAATCTGAGGTACAGGATCTCAGGATAAATCCTGAGGGCATTTCACTGACCTTCTCAAACCAAAAAGCTACAACTCTTGTTGCATAGGTTCTGCTTTACCTTGGTCTTAACCATCCAGTAGAAAAGTATGAAGATGAAATATAGGAAGTAAAGCCATGTTGTTATGTTGAGCTGTGGGGGACTCACGTCAATAATTTCTGACATTGCCAATTAAACAGAAGACCCAATGCTATTATGGGCTTCTGTACTCTTTTAGAATATTTTGCTGAGTTTACACACCTATAATATTCAACAACGGAATAAAAAAAAATTGGGGTATAACTATGAATGTCCATTTTGTATCTGTGTATTCAAAGTGGTTGGGATAGATATATAGTTGCATTCTCTTAATGAATAGAATGATTTTTTCTAATGGTGTTTGTAAGTAGGATCACAAGTCTGCATCTTGTACAGCAATTAACCACTAAGAAGAATATATGCGGTGTATTATTTGTTGTAACTGTACTTTCTATTTGATTTGAAACTGTCTCATTGCTATATGTTTATCAGTAAAACTTTGAAAAGAAAAAAAAAAACTAATGGACTAAAATGGGGAAGGGTAGCCTTTAAAATCTCAGGAAAGGGGGCCCAGAGAGATAGCTCAGTAGAATAAGCCCTTACCTGGCAAGCACAGGGTCCTGAGTTCAATCCCTGGTACAATCAGTCAATCTCAGGAAAGGATTTCCAAAGGCCTTAAAAAAAGCACAAAGTTTAAAGTAGAACAGATTAAACTGCACAAAAAATTCATTGAATAAATGATAGCTTTTGCCAAGCTAAATGGTGATAGCTTGAAGGAAGATGTTTATGATCTAAAAAGGCCAAAACCCACACAGATTTCAGTATGGAAGCGGCAGCAATATCAGGCAGGAAAATACCCTGGAATGCAAAGAAGCAGCACATGTGTGGAAGAGACTCCCAAGTCGCTGAGGTCAGTGGTCCAGTTTTGTTTGTAGGAAAGTGAGGCTGTTCGGCAGGAAATCAGGAGCGATGTCCGAGAGATCTGAGGTGAACCCCAAAGCCTGGCAGAACCCAACTTTACTTCCACCTTGGTGAGAAGAGACTGAGCTTTGTTGATTCCTCTCTATAAACATTTATTGGTAGCTACTGTATGTCAAGCCCTGTGCTAGGCACAAGGAACACAGGAAAGAGGTTATGTCCATACTTCAGAAGGTGTCGATCAAAAAGGAGAAAAGCGAGCAAGTGGAATAGAGAACCCACACTCATGGAGGTGTGGCCAGGCCACAGGCCAAGTGTGCAGCCTGAGTGGCAGGTGGCTGAGTGGCCGAGCACTGACCTCCACGGCTTTCCTTATCTGGTCCATGCCCTCTGATACAAGAGTGGGAAGAACAGTGCCATGTTGTAGGGTTCATGTGAGAAGGAAATCGTGACAGCAGTGTGGCCTGCCAAGGCCCTGGGGGACCAAGGCACAGCCTGGGGAGATGCGTCTGAAGGCAGTTGGTGGAGGCTGCGCGTGCTTTGCAAACTCAGGATGATCGTGGAGATTGCAAAAGAGGGACCATCTTCCTAGCCCCTCAGTGATTCTGTTCCTCTCCTCACCCCAGGTATCTTGCACAAAGGGAATGGGGAGAACCAGTTTGTGTCTCAGCAGCCACCCGTCATTGGCAGCGTCATGGGAAACGGGCGCCGGAGAAGCATCTCGTGCCCCAGCTGCAATGGCCTTGCCGATGGCAACAAGCTCCTAGCCCCTGTGGCCCTCACCTGTGGCTCCGATGGGAGCCTCTATGTGGGTGACTTCAACTACATCCGCAGGATCTTCCCCTCAGGAAACGTCACCAACATCCTGGAGCTGAGGTACTAACGCGGTGTCTCTCATGTTTCCTGATGGGGTCCTGTTGCCATCAAAGGGCCCAGAGAAGTGGGACAGGATGGTACGTGGCCTGCCAGGCTCCAGAAAGCCTTGCTTCCCAGCCACTGTTGGCTGATGGGAAGGCCACAGGCCACTGAGAGTTACACTCCCTGGAGCCATTTCATCTTCTGTTTGCTTTGTAGCACTGACAGATTAGACTTTGTCACATGAGTCCTTTCCTATGAATAAGGAATAGCATAATGTGCCTGGGTCCTACAACTGTGTCACCACATTTGGGCCTGGTATTTGAATTCATCAGAGCTAGCAGCATTCCCTTCCATGGGTGAGTAGTGAGCTAAGGCCCACAGGCGTTGTGGCACAGGCAGTACCCCCGCCCCCTGGGTTCTGCACGACAGCTGGATCAGCCTTCGCCCGCCCCCAAGCCCAGACCAAGACTGATGGGGCACAGATAAGGGCTTAGGACTCAGGCAAGAGCTCAGAATTTCGCATTTTTCATCTGTTTCCCTGCATCAGATCTTCTTAGAATCACAAAACCATCATAGTGTGGGTGGGCGCTGGGGATACGGAGAAGCTTGCTCTAAAGGCAGCGGAGTCCCCACTCTCTTTCAGAAGAAGGTGCATCAAGTTCCCTCACAGCTGTTTTAGGGCGGGGGACCAACCTGTCTCCTGGGCTGGGGTCCGAGTGAGCAGGATGGCCCTCGAGCTGGAGAGTCTGCCTCCACAATGGGCCGGGACAAGGCTGGCTCCTCCTGTTTGCCAATCTGACAGTCCTGTGAGGTGTTTACCATTGTCCCCCTTTCATAGATGAGAAAGAGGAGGCTTGGAGAATTAGAGAGCTTGTCCCAGGTGCAGCTCCCAGAATGGCGGGCCTAATCCAGATGGCCACACAGCTGTGTCTGACCAAAGACTTGTGGCCTGTCTTGGTGCCTTGTTACACTGCTAGAGGTTACATGTGGTGACACAGTTGTAGGACCCAGGCACAGTTACAGTGTAACAAGCAGTGTAACTTTGTTACACTGCTAGAGGGTCTGACCCTGTAGCATGTGGGTGAAAGGCGGGCAAGACCTGCTGGGCACCTCGCAGCCATCGCTGCCCCGGAAGCGCAAGTGCATCCCTTCCACCTCCCCTCTGCCACATCAGGCAAACAAGGGGAGCTCAAGCAGCAGGCCTTGTGAGACATGGGCCGCCAGGAAGGTTCTCAGCCTATCTCCTCTAGGATAGGCCCCTGCCAAGAAAGAGGGCAGCCTCGAATATGTTTCTTTCATTCTGCTGTGAACACTGCTACAGGGGAATGCACCAGGGAGCTCACCTGGGCAGAGAGGCTGCAGCACTTTAGACAAAACAGTTAACTCTCTGGGCCTCCATTTCCACACCTTTCCTCTTACTGACCCCGTGCTCCCACAGTTGCTGGGGGATCATTTAAGACAGTGAATAAGAAACGGAGGAATAAATGAAATTTGGAGAGAAATTCAATTAATGTTATCACATTGAGATCTTCTCCTTCCGTCTTTCCCCTATGCCTGTCTGTGTTCTGCCTCCCTTCTAATTACAGAGTATCTCTAACTCAGTCTCCTGCTCCGAGCAGGCTGCTCTGGGCTTCCCATGCTCTGACGACATCTTGCAGGGAAGCATGCATGCAGAGGCAAGAGCAGCCAGTCTGCGTCTCTCGGTGTATGTCTGTCTCGGAGAGAGACGCAGCTGTCCCCATCCATGTCAGCCCTTGTTACAGCTGCGCAGTGTACCGCCCCAGTCTCGCCCTGAGTCAGCAGTGCTGGTGCAGGGGAGCCGTGGCACTTCTGTGGTGTGTAGCTGCTTGTAAGTGAGCTCACTGACAAGTAATATCCAATAGAAGATGTATCAGTGTCATGGCTGCTAAATCTATATTTATTGCCGTATTGTACAGTACCATTGCTGTCAAGTTTTCAGGCTGCTAATCATACTCCTAACACCTCATTCTTTCTTCTATTCCCTGCTCTCCTGTCTTCTGTCAGAAATAAAGATTTCAGACATAGGTAAGCGCACCAGTGGAGAATTTCCTGTCTCTCCCCTGCCCGGTTGCATGTCGTATGGTAAGCTGCACACACCAGCTCAGGTGGCTCGGTGGCAAAAGAGCACTGTGTGGGCCGGATCAGGGGTGATGGCTTGCACAGACAGGAAGTTATTAATGCTGGGGGTGGGGACACCTGAGCTCCCTGAATCGGAAAGAGTCGGGCAGTTTCTCTGTGGTCTCCAGTCTGCCTCGGGTGAATGAGGACATCAGAAGCCTGTGGTAGTCCTGACGGACATCCTGAGACCATCCCGGGTTAATAGTCTGAGCGTACAGTTTCATATTTGCATTCCAAGGACCTCACCTTGGAGATGCAGGGAACATTCCCACCCTAAGGTTTGCCAACAGGGACAGAGGGGCACAGGGGCTCCCTGTGGAGAGCAGTCCCCACATGGAATTCACACAGGGAAGATGGGTCCATCTCAGGGGCTCATGGTGACAGTGTGGCCAGCAGGAGGAGGTGGCCAGATACACCAAGAGAAGTGATACCGTCAGCGTGGCGGTCAGTGTCTGCCCTGCACACACTGGGGGGATCTGTGGGCAGTCTCCTCTGCCTGTGGCTTTTGCGGCCTCAGTGCGAGCCACCATGTGGAGCAGCCCGGTGCAGAGGCCAGCTATGCTGCGTGGACATAGGATGGCTGAGCTCATCCACACGTGGCTCAGAGTGTAGTGGCACATGCGGTGGCAATAGATAGCGATAAAAGAGTCTGACAGACCCTAAAGCCAGGAATTACTGAATTTCTGTATGAGCAGCTATATCACGTATATAATAATCACATCCATTATTTGAAGGTAATAATTAACATAGATAGAGTTTTTAGTATGTAGCCTATGCCTTCTTCTCAAACGGGAAGTGAAAGGCTTTGCATGAGGCCAGGGAGTTCAGCAACTCGTGGGTGACCCTGGATAGGTGTGGCTGCAGAACCTCAGCTTCAGCTTGGCAGCTAACAGAGGACTCTGCGTAAAGATCCTGGGTTAACACCACAGCACCCGGCCGGGGTGGCAGCAGCATTACCAGGCAGCACAGCCAGGCCGGCTGGGGCCGTGCGGCTGGGGCCAGCTGCCCAGCGTCAGTGGTACCAAGTCTCGCCAGTACACTTGCAGGCGGTTGTGGTTTGAGTTTCTTTTGGTCCTGCTCTTCACTGGCCTTTGGACATGTCCATGGGATGAATTTAAAACCAGATTCCTGCCCTCTCTCAACGTATGGTCTCAGGTGCTAAAAACTGTCTCTAAAGTAATCTGAAACAGGAGAGAAAGGGGAATCACTTTCTGCCTTCCGGTTCTCGAAAGATGATCAGGAGTAGGGGGCCAGCGAGATAGCTCAGTGGTCTAACGCACTTGCTTAGGCAGGCTTAGGCAAGTGCAGGGAACTTGGTTCGATCCCTGGCATCACATGCCACACCAGCCCTTCACCCAGGGTGGGCAGAGCCAACCACAAAAAAAAAAAAAAAAAAAAAAAAAAAAACAAAAACCCAAAAAACAAAAAACAAAAAACAAA